TGTTTCTTGCTGGAAGCCAGCCAGGATGCCACAAAGCCACCAGCACAGCTCGCCATCTTAATACACAACGAATTCAGGTTATAAAACCACATTTTGCACAAGGTTTGACAATACCCACCACAGCCTCAGAAGCAGTTTTGCCCCACACGCATCCTTGGCTCTCCCCAGATGCACCTTCCCTGCACGGCGGCCGACACGCTGCGACGACAGCGGAACAGCCCCTCGCTGCCAATGCGTGTCACCCCGCTGCCTGAACATTTCTTTCCTGAGCATGCACAACACACGGCACCACCTTCGCTTTAGCTTCAGCTTCTGACAGATCACGCGTCAGCGCTCTGCCAGCACTTGAAGGGCAAAGAATACAGATTAAGTGAACTGCAGCAACACGTTGTTCAAACAGGAGGAACAGAGCAACAGTCATTAAGATTGGAGGGTTCCTCAGTGTCTGCTGCACCTCAAATTAAAGCCAAGTTTTGAACTGCAGAAGAAAGAATAATTAATAAAACATCACTGCTACAAGTTCAAATTTTCTTTCTTTTCCTATCCATAAACTTCACGTTCATCTCCATGATACTACACGCGCTAGCTCCCATGGACTCGCTCCCCATCAAAGTTCCAGTTTTGGAGGAGATATGAAGAACAGAGGAAGACCCTGACAGAAGCGAAGCTGCTCTATAGACTTGGCACACACTAATGCCGCAACAGCAGCGGCTTGCTGCGGTGAAGGGCCCGCCCAGGCCAGCCAGGGCCCACCAAACGCGTGAGTGGCAGCGCGCCGGGGAGACCTGCTGCTCTGACGGACACCAGCCTGCCCACCACGCACCAGCCAGGGCACACAGCTGTGGGTGGGTGGTGCTGGGCGCTCCCTGCTTACCACAGCTGGCTGGGACGCAAGTGGAGTGTGCCACCATTTTTGTTTAAAACAGCGCCTTTCCATTTTCACATGAACATTCAGTTCTGTCATGCCAGACACAGCGTTCAACCACAGACAAATCCATCTGAAAGATTCAGACTATTCAATCCAGTCTGTGGGCACGCCCTGTGAACACTGCCCTATCTACTGAAGGACAGAAAGGTAGGTGAATTATTCTCCTTTTATATGTATCCAGCTGAAAGCTGGATGAAGTTCTGCATTTTACAAACTTCTCCCATGACACATTCCAGAAGGCAGAGGAGCCATTACACTTATGCTCCAGACTGAGCGCATTGCTTATTTACTGCCCAAGATATCAAAATGAGTACTAACAAAAATCGGACTTCGGTACAGACACCACCAAGACGATGCCTCTTACCAGCTCTACACACTCCTGTGAGCCCCGCTGTTGGCTGTCCAGTCCTCGCTCCAGTCCACAGGGACTCCGAGGAACCGGGAGCTTATGGCCAGAGCCCACCTCGCCTCTAACCACCATGATGAGCGAACAAACAGAGTTAAGGAGTTTCAGACCGAGCGATAAAGGTTCTTGCCAGTTCTGGACAGGCAACAAGAGGCCACAAGCAGTTCCAGTTTTTTGCTACTTTTGATATAATGGGAACCCCATCTCTGTGCAAGCTTATCCCCCAAACCATGCATCATGACAGGCTTTATTACTTGCTCTCTACATATATGCGCCACTTATCAGATACTGTACAATTTGATTACATATGAATAAAAATATTGCAGTCATCCAGAATATTTAGTGCAATGCTTTTGTTTTTACAGGTCCAGAAAAGTACATCTTACGGCAGCTGCCAGTTCACAGTGAGCAAAGGTGACACGGACAGTGTTACATTGAAAGCTTTAGGGTCGACAGGGCAAAGCTTGCCTTAGGAAAGGGGGCGAGGGGAGACATCCCGTTCAGGAGTAACTCCGCATCCAAGACTCAGTCTGCTCTGCAGATATGCTCAACATTCGTTTGCTCTGTGGCAAATGGGGAAATTTTATAGATTAATTCTAGGAGACAAAAAGTGCAAATCAAAGCTCTAAAGGTAGCTAACATTGAAAAGAGCAAGAACTAACTCAGGGCTACAGAGGATAGTCTTATTTGTTACGATGGTAAATGCAGTGTACCCTCCACCCTTTAAAATAAACTCGTTACAAGGAAAGTACACGCCTACATCTCTTCAAATAGCTATAAAACTTAAAGCCTACTTTTAAGTTTAAAACTTCTAAAGAATTAAACTCCGTGTTTATTATGTCTTGTTACTGCATTTAACTGCACAGTAATGCAAAGAAACAAAACTTGCTACTGATGAAATTTTAACAAAATTACAAAGAAGTTTTAAGCAGAAATTAAGCAAGGAAACAAAAATGAAATTAGATAAGGCATAGCAAAATTCTACTATGGACTGTAAAAGAATTCTCGCTAGTGTACACAAACAGCATAAAGACATGAGCATCAAACTCACCTTAAGCAGAGTCCTAGTGATGCCTTGGTTCTCTCCAACCAGTCTTCGGTTTCTCTATCTTTAAATCCTCAGTATCACGATCTCGTTGTTCAGTGGTAAAGGCCACATTTACAAAAGGTGATTTCAGCAAAAATCCGTTCCTGAATAATAAGCGTCTTCAAAATTCTATTAAATTTAAAATGGAAGCTACACTTACAAGTATTTGTTACTGAAGATAGCCATCACCACCTGTTAATTCTTCTAGCAACACTCTTGCCCATATAGCTTGTAAAAGAAACACCCCATAACACACGGTTACAGTGTCATTCACGTAACATTGAGGCTCAGCACTTCCAAAAGCCACCAGCGGTAGGAAGCTTCAGCTGATGCACAGCAAAAGTACCATCACAACGCTAAGGACAAAGTCCTCCCGGCATGGACTGCAACATTAGTATTTCTATAAGCTTCAGAGGGAAGAAGGACCTGTCTCTCCCTGAACAGCACCTGGGAAAGCATTAACATGCGAAGATAGCCATCACCACCTGTTAATTCTTCTAGCAACACTCTTGCCCATATAGCTTGTAAAAGAAACACCCCATAACACACGGTTACAGTGTCGAAGATAGCCATCACCACCTGTTAATTCTTTTAGCAACACTCTTGCCCATACAGCTTGTAAAAGAAACACTCCATAACACACGGTTACAGTGTTATTCACGTAACATTGAGGCTCAGCACTTCCAAAAGCCACCAGCGGTAGGAAGCTTCAGCTGATGCACAGCAAAAGTACCATCACAACGCTAAGGACAAAGTCCTCCCGGCATGGACTGCAACATTAGTATTTCTATAAGCTTCAGAGGGAAGAAGGACCTGTCTCTCCCTGAACAGCACCTGGGAAAGCATTAACATGCAATTACCACACCATTTGTGCTATTAAAGAATAAGATCTGCATAAAAGGAAACCTTCACACTGATACATGTAAGAGTGAGTTACATCTCGAGGAAGATGTTCCAGATGACTTAAGACACAATCTAAAACCAGACTCTCATCCAACCTGTATTTAGCATTATTCTATGGCTAAACAATGATTACATTTCTATTGAAGTTTTGCATAGACTGCACAGACACCCACAGGTGTTGGTTTTAATAACTGTCAGCAAATATATTTTTAGAATGGCTGATGGCCTAGCTGTTTTCTTTTGGGGCTAAATTCTTGATGAACAATGGCAAGAGAGTCCCTCAGCCACCTCCTCTCTGATGACCTACAAGCTAGTCTGATGCGTGCCTTTGCTGGGGGTGTGCAGTGAACTTCAGTAGAGCTTCTTAAATAAAAGCTTCAGCATAGTCCAGCTAAAACATCACCCCAATTCCAGTCCCTCTCTTTAGAGGAAATATCCTACTACTTAGCAACAGCTAGGATTTGTATCTTAACAGGCTGGAGAGGGGTGAAACTGGGGACACATTATGAAAAATACTCTCCAATCGCATTGCTACATCACACTGCCACCACATATTTGTTTAATGCAGCTAATCAAGAAATGCTCTGGCAGTATCTTAATGCTTTACAACCAAGTTTTTCTTTTTGTTTCCTCTCCGGCTCTACATACTGGGAAGCCCATCCCAACTATATTTTTCAGTGTCTATGGATGAAAGCAAGTGAACTGAGAAAAAAATATATTGTTTTGAATTAAACTTGAAAAATAGCTACAGCAGAGAAACCATGTAATGTGTGCATTGGAATGTCAGAAATACTGTTTAATAAAAACTCTGCACCACAACGCACACTTCAAACAATTTCTAACTGTGAGAATAATGATTCCACTAAACTGCAATTTTTAATTATTTTTGCAGCATACTGACAAGAAGAAAAAAGTTCCAGGGTAAAAACTAAAAATTTCATTACAGTAACAATCTTTTATTGTATGTTTGAAATGCATTTTTAAAAACAAATAGTGCACGCTGGCTTCACTTTAATCTCCTGAAATATGCACTTATGATGGGAAGCCCTGGGGCTACAGATCCATCTATGATGTTTATTAACAAAATATAACCTCAGCATGATTCCCGAGGGGACAGTATTTAGTTCCAAAAGATTGTCAACCCTGTACTCTAACACACTTGAATTAGTTGCTTGTGTACACTAAATCCATTTATTTTAAATTTATTTTGTCTACATTTAGTGAAATAAAAACAACGCCCTGTACAATCCACCAGCAGTGAGTACAACAGCAAAAATTATTATACAGTTTATACACACTAAAATCTTTTCTTTTTCCTATAAAGAAACCAGAACAAACCTAATCAATATAGAGTTTAATTTAGAAGAACTCAAATTACAGAAGGGAAAGCCAAAATTATTACTGTCTTTTCTGAGCCCCCAGAAGTTCCTGATTCATGTTGTTGGAACAGTGAGTGCAGCTGGAAGAGTGAAACATGCTCAAGTTGTCTTCTTGGGTCTTCAAAAAAATCACCAAGTATTTAAATTAAACATGGCTAGTTAAAGAAACATTTGAAGCAGAGCAATATAACTGGGAATTCTGCCTTACCAGTTGTGGTTTCTTCTAAACCCAACTTATACAATGCGCGAAGTGCTAAGCAACACTACAGAAACACATTTACATCAACACTGAAAATCTGGGGAAATGAAATTCCAACAATTTTATTTTTTTAAGTGAGCTGTATTTTCTAAATTTGTTTTTATTTTTCTGTTTTCATACAGTATTGAAAACAAACGCGGCACATTCACATTTTCCCGAAGAATTGTAAGGATGATCTCTACAGGGATAACGTTGAAAAGCCTGAAGCTCAATCAATTCATGTTGAAAACTCTCAAAAGGAGTAAAAGGCTTGATCTGAATGGTCTAGAACATGTACTGTAATTTAATAGAAGAGATGGTTGTCTTAATATTAATGATTTAAAAGAACTTCCCAGTTCATGCGAAGAGTATAGTCCAAGAATAAACCAAATTTTCTGAACGCATTTTATGCTACGTAAGTGTATACTTTGCGATCCTCAGGTGTTCGTGCCAAATATTCCCTCTCAATAAGTCCTTCAATACGTTTTTTAATAACAACTGGACTTGGTAAGAATCGGGCCTTCAGCTGCTGAGTTACCTAAAACGTAAGAACAAGAACAACAAGGTAAGATTCACAGGGCAAGTAAGATCATTACCTATCCTAACCGACCAAACTTCTAACAGTTCTCCCTCCAGTTGCTTGTTCATTTTTGGGTATGAGTCAAAGTACTGCCCCTCTACAGAGGCATGATCACCACCTGAGAATCCTCTCAATTTCACAGCCCTAAAGGAGTTCAAGAGTGGAAAACGCATACTAGTCCTGAAGCTGTCAGAACCTGGGAGTTAAGAGCAGCAGGACTCTCTCTTGCCCTCTGCTAAGAGCTCAAATCTCTCAAACCTGAACCCAACTGTCAGTAACAAGATCAAAGCAGAAATTAATTAAGTACAGTGGTTTTTGTTCCCAACTGTTATTTCAAGGAGTTTGATAACATCCTAACAGCACTAAAAGGAGGAAGGAAAATTGGATATACCCACGAGTACATGCTAAACTGAAGGATAAGGATTTAGGTCTCTTCAGATACACAGGGAGGAAAGAAAAAAAAAAGGATGGATTAAATACAGCATCTCTCAAAAGCGTTTCAGAGTCATGTTACTGAGAGCTGTGTAACTTTCATGAATTAACAGGAAAAACAAAAAAATTCCCAAGTCCGTATCAAAACTATGTCCAAGTATACCTCTGCTACTAGCACATTGTGTTGCATCTTCTTCCTAGATTTCATTATCCGAACTATAGCAGCTTCTATCTCATGTTTTCTGTCATCATCTACTTTCTGCCTTGTTTCTTTCCTTTCTGGATCAGATTCTCCTTGTTTGGCAGCAACTTAAAGAAAAGAAAGAGAATGTAAAGTATGTTAACAAAATTAAAATTAACTATATTGTGTAAGGGTTAGCTCCACTATTTCATCTAGACATCAAGTTATATTTTCCTGAGTTTTGACATTCTCGAACTTGGTATTTTTTTTTTTATAAAAAGCAGCCACAAGAACATATCAACACTTTCTGGCATATTTTGATAGCAACTGACAAGGTAACAAACTGTTATTTAATTATTGTTATGTTAAAGTTTGAACAGTACTCACATCTGCTTAGAGGCATCACCAATCCCTATGCTCCCATTAAGTATTTTTCTCTTTAATATAACACGTAATCCATTAATTAAAATAGAAAAAGGACTGAAAAATTACTTCACAAACTAGTTAAATATTTTAAAAGTTGATCAGTCAGAAGAAATAGTCTAACTTTATCACCTCCAACTCAGTTATATTCTTCGTATTCTGTTCTCCTATTTATGCTTTATTTCTGCCCTTATGTCTAAGTTTTCTTACCCTTTCACCAAAGCATGATTATAACCAAGCCCTCCTCCCACACCACTCTACCACTTTCCCCCCTGCCCTTCTTCACTCAAAAGCCCCGAGTATTTATTGGTTTTAAAGAGGCACATACAAGATTTCTGTGTAAGAAACACAAAACTACAAGTATCAAATTTGCTCTAAAACCATCTTGAACCCCAAATCGTATTCCCCTTTCACAGACATTTGTGAAGTGGAAATGAAAAAGCAGAATTCCGCTGAAGCGCATAGTTGTCACTGAATTTACTTTAATTCTGGTAGTGAAGTGCCTTTGGCCCTGATCAGAGGGTTCTCAACATCCTCATTCGTTAAACCCAAATCACTGCCCAAAAACATTATACCTACCTGGCACTTGGAAATGGCTGTTGTACCATGGGCTAAAAAAATCACTCAATTTTAAACAGTACAGCAACTTATGAGGCAATTTTCCTATTTCTGAACCAATCAGTACCATATTTTTAATTTTACTATTTAATTTGAATTTTATTGCTCTTTGAACATCCATCTTAAGCAATAATTACAAATTTTGTAATGTAAAAGGCTTAACTAAGACTTCCACACTTTTCTCAGTACTTAAATTTTTACTTTGATGCAACCAATCATCAACAAAAACCACTCTTTCACTTGTATGGACATCAATCCTGCGGAAGATAATTTGACATTTTAAGGCAGTTTGGGGACTGCAAGACAATAGAATATAAAGCTCACTTACCCGTCTGAATCTTGACTCTGTGTAATTTAGATGTGAACTGATCATTCACTGTAAATATATGACCATTTTCTATTTCTTTTGATTTAGGCTCTTTTGTGAGAACACGTTGCGTTGGTTTGCCACATGCAAGGGACTGTAGGGCTCTAACTAGCTCTCTTTCAGGGATATCAGTTTCTTGCTGAATTTCCTAAATAAAAACATCTTAATTAGTTTATGGCCATGGCAGAAGTAAGTATCATGTTTTGCAAACAACTGCAGATCTTTTAAGATTGTTTAAAATGTCCACCTTCATGCGCGCAGAATACTACTGCTACAGCAGTTGTGGGGTTTGGAAGGTTAGAATTCATTCAGTAGCAAAGTCTCAATATGTACTATGCAAAATGATCCACCTGGGTCAATGTACAGACAGTGAACTCTGTCAAGTAAATAGTCACCATGAGTTGGAAATAGAAGAATGAATAACCAGCTGTTTCATTTCACTGTAATTTTCGAGAAGGCTCAAAAGAATTTGTTCACTGTCTCCAACATGTGCTGAACAGGGTGAAACCGAACCTTTTAAGTAACTCAGTGATGGCAAACATCCATGATGTTCATGAGCATTCCTGATGAAGAACTGCGTAAATGCTTTTGCATTCAACAGCACTGCTGAAAGTAAGATCTTTACACATGGAAGCAAACAATGTCTAGTTTCACCATAACACAGAAATACTCTAGATTAATTACACCTCCCTTCTGAATAACCTGAAACAATTTCTTTACAGCCCAGGTACCTTTGGCTAGGAGTTCTCCAGGCAAAATAAAAAGAGCCCAAACCCATCACAGTGAAGCAAATGTATGAACTTTGAAGAACATCATCTAGTAAAAGTTTGTGAAAACATGTACATAACTTGTTGCACCTCTGCCAGTATTCTTAGGAGTTCAGCTGAGTGCCATATGTTAGCCAAGTCACCAGCAATGATGTTAGTAAGCAAATTATATTGGGTGCAGAACGATGCCTTAACATGCTCTACGAGTAGGACAACTACTAGTGCTTCCTCAAACTTAATTTGTTCACACAGGTCCCATTCCTTAGAAGTTCATTTTAGCCTTATCTCCATTTTCTTCCTTTCTCTAGTTTGAGGAAACTGCAGACATCTCTGATTCCTCATTCCCATTCACACTCTCGAGGGCCCCCTAGCAGCTACACATTAAACTACCAAACAGAAAAAATAAACCTTGCACACTTAATTGTCCACAAGAGCTGTCACTTTCTCATGACAGCTCTTCCACTGTCCCTGTAAATTCCTAATTCTCATGGCACCCAAGTCAAACTGATGACCTTCATGCTAAAAGTAGCAGTAACAACTCCCAGTGATCAAAATGCTAAGATCTGTAATGAACTATAAAGAACTTGTTAAAAGTTCTTGAAGTAGTGACCAGAAAAATCAAACGTCAGAATACAACTAAGTTCTACTAAATGATGTTATTTCTTGACCATACTCAAGTTTTTTAAAATCAATCCAGAAAAAAATGCCACTCTTCTGTGGTCGTCATCCACCACTGACAACATGCAATAAAAATAATTTGGATGTACTGGCCTCTACCCGGACTCTGTCCTTCATTACAGTGCATCCCATACACTACCAGGTCTCTCCAATGCCAAGGCTCAGACAGAATATGCATTCCTTTTTAACTATAGACCAAACATTACATGTGCAATGTTGACTTTATGTGAAATCACATGAAATTGTGTTTTTGATGCAAGTTCAAATTCATTTGAGTGAGGTAAATTAAAAAAAATTAAAATGAAAAAAATTTAGCATTTTCTATACTGCTTATGGATGACTGGAAAATAAAGTATTCTTAAATTTCAGAATATTTGTAGCACAATGCATTCAGAAATATTCATAGTATTCATAATAAGTGACATATTTTAACTGTTTGCTAGTACCAAAACACCTCTTCCCAAGCAGCTCACAGAAAGGTACTATATCTTCATTTGTTGCTTTAAATAACACACAATTGTCACCTTCACATTTTTCCAGATCCAGCACAAAGCAGTATCAAAAAAAACCCAAAAACGCTGTAACACTTTACATGGTCACAGGGATAACAAGCTGACCACGAGCCAGCAGTGTGCCCTGGCTGCCAAGAAGGCCAACGGGATCCTGGGGTGCATTAAGAGCAGTGTGGCCAGCAGGTCGAGGGAGGTTCTCCTCCCCCTCTACTCTGCCCTAGTGAGGCCTCCTCTGGAGCAGGAGCATCTCTCCTACAAGGAGAGGCTGAGGCAGCTGGGCTTGTTCAGCCTGAAGAAGAGAAGGCTGCGAGGGGACCTAATAAATGCTTATAAATATCTCAAGGGTGGGTGTCAGGAGGATGGGGCCAGACTCTTTTCAGTGGTGCCCAGCGACAGTGTTGCTCTATAGAAATATAACAGATCATACATTTTTCTGAAGGAATTTTGCTATGCAGTAATACTTTAATTTTCTGTAGCATCTTATGTATAATTTTTAAATCACCATTTCCCCATTTTTCTCTCAATCACATGGCTCAAAGGCTATTAGGATTAGTGCGAGGATCTTGTCAAGTTTGCAATTAATAAGCACACTGAATACAAAACAAAACCAGCAAAGTCTGTTCAACTGGGAAGGCAACTTCAAATTAATGTGTTCAGCTGTGAATCTGCAGAAACACTTGTAGATCAGACAGTTTTATGCTTACACAAGCACACACCACAAGTCATCTCTCATGCTATGTTGCAGGAAAAGCACTAATTTGATATGACAGAGAAATAACAGTTGCCTATCACTCAGCAATTAATCACAGTATTCAATAATCAATGAACAAAGATAAAACTCATTCTAGTCTAAGTTTTCATAAGCTTTCCTGGCTGGAGTTAAAGACAACTCCCACACATTTCACCAAAGAAACCAAACCAAACAAAAATGCCTTCTTAACATTTTTGTTACAGTGGGACACAAAGTAAGAGTTTAACAACTCCCAAATCAGAAATAAACAGAACATACACAACCCTAAAAGCACATGGACATACTTCTCTTCATACTTCTTTTTCACTGCTATACCAAGTATTATTTATTCATATATAGGCAAGGCTCTACTACTCATAAAGCCTACAATTGTGAAATAAGGTAGCCACCAACCCAATTTCGACACCAACTTCAAGAAAAATTGAACTGTTCAGTCCCCCTCATTTTTTCCCCTCAAGTATTCTGCAGAGAAAGTACTCACAGCTGTAACGCTCTTACAATAGATTTCACCATACACAGGACTTTGTGCTCTAAAATAATCTTTTTTCGAACTATGAGTATTTATTAAGAGCCTCTTATCAAACCCTGCCTTCCTTAATCCCAGCTGAGATTGTTTCAAAGCAACATTCTTTATTAATGGGCTAGAAGTATGCCAAATAAGCTGAAAACAAAATCCAAATAAAAGGCAAATGATTACTATGCACAGCACAGTCAAAAGTAGATGAGAAAACCTGGAAATCCACTCCGTTTCAAACTGCACGCATACTGCTTTACAAGGCCGCCAATGCTCTCTCAAACAGAAGGTAATGTCTAAAACAAAACTGTTGATTGACATTAACAAGACAATGCTCAAACCTCATAGCACAGGATTCTCTTCCATTCCTAAAGCCTTCTTAATCATCATCTATCAACTGACCACTTCAACCTTTCCCAGAAACGCCCCTCTAGTCTCCTTGTTCAGAATCAGTCTGGACCTTCTTCATCGTCCTTTCTGGCTCACCAGCTCAGAGAAGGGATGAAAGTTCTTTGATTCATCCTACAGCTCACTCCAGCCTGCCAGCTTAAGCACTTCAGCATTTAAAAAGCCAGGATACAAACTCTTCTCCACCCTTTGGCCTCTAAATCCAGTTTCTCAAGGATAAAATGAGTGAATGGAGCCACCTGCTGCATTCCTACTTCAGCTTTTCTGTAGCTTTATGACCTAGGAATAACAACACCCACAACTCTCTTCAACATTCCTGAAATCTTCTGTTCCCAGATAATTTCCTCCCCTAGGACTGCTTCCCAGGTGCACTGCTAATGATCAGCTTCCTGTATTTATTCGCCTGCTCCACACTCAAATACAGTAAGAGGCACCTGATCTTCAAAGGTCTATTCAAGAGGACCAGAAAGTGCCTAAAACAGTGATTTAAAATTAGGTGAGAAAACCACAACCCTTACCTCAAATGTGTATTTTTCTCTGTTGTTAAAGAGCATTAATATCGTCATCTGGAAAGTGGAGACTTGCAATATGTGCTTCCGTGTATTTGAGCCAGTTACTTGGGCGCCTCCTACACCAACCTCTGAGCCATCTTCCTATTTTAAAATTACAAAACTACTATTAGATTATCCTCCACTGCAAAATATTTTACCTTGGTAAGAAAAAAGTTATACGATGAAATATTTATCTAGGAGATCAGTCTACACAAGTGCTAGGATAGCACACGCCTGGCAGCATAAAGAGAATGCCTCTCCAGCAGCCGTCTCAGAACCACGGGGTGACTGAGGCTGGAGGCACCTCTGCAGGTGCCGCTCCCCAGCCACCACTCAGAGCCAGGCCATCTAGCACAGGATGCTCAGGGCTGCGGCCAGTCAAATACTGAGCATCTCCAAGCACAGAGGCTCCATCACCTCTCTGGCCCCTGTTCCACTACTTGCCTATCCTCCAGTTTTCTTACTCTTTATCTTAAATTATCAAAGTATTTATCCTACAGTAATACAATTTTAACACACTCAAAGGCATATTATTAATACTTTTTGTTATAAAATTTTTGTTTTCATTTTGCATTGCCTTCCACGTTCCCAAGCATCCTGTCACTACCTCTAGCTTAGAATTTTAGAACTGGTCTAAATCACTAGCATATTGTTTTCTTGCATAAATAAACATTAAGCATTGTACTTCTATAAACTCTACTAAGGTTCTTATGTTTGAAAAAAATGTTGTCTACATTGCTAGCACTCTGTATATGCAAAGCAGGCTAAACTTCACTTAACGCTTTTTCACATTAACAAAAATCACTCTAAAAAGTTTCATTTCACTTTTGATTGATTCAGTCAAAAAAACCCACAACACTCAAACCACTGACGTCCCTTCAAAATTAAAATTACTTCTTTTTATGAGGTAACAAAGAAATGATGAATTATTAGTATAAATATATTTTGGGAGGGGGGGAAGTCAAAACAAAACTGCTACAAAGGAAGAATCAGACTATAAAGCCGATGGAAGGCATCTTTTTCTTATTGTTATATTACCAATAGGTAAGCTTTTATTTTGCAAAATTCTGAAATTACTACTTTAAAAAAAAATACAATATTTTCATAATCTTGATACTTTACCTTTTTAACAGGCCCATAGAAAGTGGCATTGAGATCTGCAGAACCCATATGATGCTGGAGTGTCAGCTGTCGCCCACTATGTTTGGCTAAATAAAATCTGCAACATAATTGAGTTGAATTGAAAACTTCATATATAGTTCACATTTTGTATCTAAGAGGAATCGTTTTAACAGTTACACAGACTTCTCACAGACATTATGGACACTAAGAAACTTCTAACCTTTGCTTTTTCAAAACTTTAACTCTCGTTAGAATTCTAATTAAAAGCTCCCCAAAACTGAACTCTCATAATGTGACGATTGCATTCTCTAATTTTCACGTGAACTGAGGAACACCAGTATGCTAGCATGTGTCTAATGGTAAAATATATCCGTAAGTTAACTTTAGAAACTTTCTTCTTAAAAACTTCTACCTAAAAATCTGGTTTAATACATACCTTCTAAATATTTCAAAAGCATGCCTGGGAGCTGGAGGGATGTTGCACTTTGGTGTGGCTGACTGAGTAGGCCAGTAGCCTGTTGTAAGGACCCGCACTGTAAGATCAACACCACCTAATGAGACCTAAGGACAATTGGAAGAAAACATCCACTATTTTAATACAGGATCACATTTCACCCATTTTCTGTATCAGTGCAGGGTGTACAGAATTCTCACAGACTAAGGAAAAAAAAGAGACACATGTCCGTAAACTTTAGTTTCACAAAGCCAGACCAAAGAATTCATCACTATCAGAGTAGATGGTACGGCAAAAATCCTCCACATTTTTCACCTCTGGCTTTTAAGAGTATATAGAATTTAACAAAATAAGTTCTTAATCAAGAATGAAATGCCTGTGATCATAAACAGAACTCATAATACATGTAACAATTGTTTCTAAACCGGTTTTTGATGACATGTAGTAAAGCCAGATAGCTAAATGTATCTGTTTCAAAGTAACTGTTTATAAATTTAGTCTCTGGGAGCAGAGAGTAAATACTGAATATCTAAAATTAAACCGCAGGGAGCTTTTCCTCCAATTTACCTCCGGACTGCAGTGTAAACAGTTACTCACTTTTACACATGCAGCCTCGCCACTTTCCCTAAGAGGGCTACTACCATAAACATTCAGCACTGGTTAGCAAACATTCTACATCTGAAGTGCAGGTCTATAAAGTAGTTCTGTTAGTAGGTGATACACATCTGGCTACCAGTGAAGCACAATCCTCACCAGGTGTCTCAACTAAGTTGAATATTATCAAACTTAAAACTGACTACTTTCAGCTCTAGGAGGTATAATGAATACCTCCAAAGAACACACGTTACAGACAAGAAAAAACAAACCATACTATATGCAATTTGTCACAAACCTGCTACATAGAAATACAGCATGTTTTATATTAGAAAGTGAAAAACTGTCCTATGATCTCAGAAACTTCCACTATTAAATAGCAGCTGCACTGGGTTTGGGTGGCAAGGTTTTGGTAGCAGGGGGACTACACGAGTGGCTTCTGTGGAAGGCTGCTGGAAGCTTCTCTTATGTCTGTCAGTGCCAGCCGGCCCCAAGACAGACCCACTGCTGGCTAAGGCCGAGCCCATCAGCGACGGTGGTAGTGTCTCTGGGATAGCGGAGTTAAGCAAAAAACCCAACTGCGTAACGGCATTTTGCAGCAGGAGAGAGAACTCTGCAGACATCAAGCTCTGCATGGTGGAGCAGATCCCTACCCACAGCCCGGGGAGGACCCCACGCCAGAGCAGAGGGAAGCCTGAAGGAGGCTGTGACCCCGTGGGGAGCCCGCACTGGAGCAGGCTCCTGGCAGGACCTGTGGGGAGAGGAGCGCAGGCTGGAGGAGGTTTGCTGGCGGGGCTTGTGACCCTGTGGTGAGCCCATGCTGGAGCAGGCTGTGCAGCCTGTGGGAAGGACTCACGTTGGAACAGTTGGAGGAGGACTGTCTCCTGTGGGAGGGACCCCACGGTGGAGCAGGGGCAGAGTGCAAGGGGGAAGGAGTGGCAGAGACAACGTGTGATGAACTGACTGCAAACCAACCAACCAACCAACCCACCCCCCCCTCCCCCAGTTCCACACTCCCCTGTGCCACTCGGGGGGAGCACGTTGAGAAAAATCGGGAGCAAAGTTGAGCCTGGGAAGAAAGGAGGGCTGGGGGCAGGTGTTTTAGGATATAGCTTTTATTTCTTATTACCTTACTCTGTTTTGATTGGCAGTAAATTAAACTAATTTCCCCAAGTTGAGTCTGTTTCGCCCATGATGGCAACTGGTGAGTAATCTCTCCCTGTCCTTATCTCCATCCATGAGCCCTTCCTTGTAGTTTTTTCTCCCCATCCAGCTAAGCAGTTGAGTGACAGAGCAGCTTTGGTGGGTACCTGGCAACCAGCCAGGCTAAACCACGACAGCAGAGCAGCATTTCTATGCATATGGAAGAGTTTTTGTATTGTGCATGTTGAATGCCCGTATACGTCAACAGGCTTGTGCCTAGGAACCTTCTGAAAACCTAGACAGACTGGTGACAAGCTACTCATACAGAAATCCCTTTGAATTTCATTAAGGTTTAAGAGGAACAGCTTGCAATAGTATGTAAAGACCCATATAAGTTTGTTCTGTAGCCAACATTACTGCCATGCTTCTAATTTCCTATCACCAATGTCATGAGGCTCACAAGTGAAATTCAAACAGCCATTTAGACACAGAAAAATAGTTAATCTGTGAATCACCTTAAAAAAACAAACCAAACCAGAAAAGCTTCAACAGTTTTATCTCTCCAGCCAAAACACAGAGAAAGTCCACCAATGCAGACAAAAAGATACAGAAAATATCTTTATATGGAACTGAAACATCTTAGTTGATATGGCAACAGTTTCCTGCATTTTTTTTGGTCTTAGCCAGACCAGAATGCAGCATTAGAGTGTCTCATATCATACATTATACAGAGCAACGAGCAGTTTGTGACTTGCAAAAGTTTTGGAAGCACAAGATGTCTTTTCAGCATAAAAATGGGATGAACTAACAGAAAAGTGCCTTGAAGTAATCTAATCTTTACAAAATTCCATCAAACTGAAGATTCAGGATTGTAGTTGTAGAAATTACTCATAATCTATTAGCTTGGACTTTCCCTAGTGCTCAGCTTTCCACTTTCTGATAGCAAACCAACCGCCATCTACACAGTCCTTGGCACTCCATGTACCTCAGTATACAAGATCCAGGAGACTTTACAAGTAGGATTATCTAGAGAAGAGCAGATGCCTGCCTCTTCTAGGAGGCACCACACATATTCAAGGTACACAAATTGCTTAAAAAGGAGTAGAATGGACTATTTCATATAGAACACTATCACCAGCAAGTTAACAGTAACACAAAAACCCAAAAATCTTCCTGTACTTCCTCTCAAATATTATTTACCCTAATAGAAATATATACGCTTCTATCAGAAACAAGTACTCCAGAAATTTCATTAAAAGGCCATGATTAGGCTAACCAAAAGGCAAACAACAGGATAACTGTTGGTCCCTTGCCAAGAAAAAGATGAAGTTTCAATTAAGGCCTTGCAGAATATCTACTAACATTTTAAATTCATCTTATTAGCTGTACATAACTACAAAGAAGATAGAGATATCATTTATTAAATCACTTAATGTAAAATGGTCATGTAAAGTATGTGAATATTTAACACAAAATCCCCCCCCATGTACAAGTCCTGCATGCTACCTAAAAAATAGGAATGCTCTAACAAATTGTTCTTGAAACTAGTATTTCAAGCATACTAGAAGGAAAACTTGATTAGCCTCTAAAGAAAAAAAGCAGTAGTAAAGCTTCCTGTCCACAAACACCTTTCTATCGTAGGATCATAAAATGTTTTGGGTTGGAAGGAACGTTACAGATCATCTAGTTCCAATCCCCTGCTATGGGCAGGGACACCGTCCACTAGACCAAGCTGCTCAAAGCCCCATCCAGCCTGGCCTTCAGTGCTTCTGGGCATTATCTGTCAATATGTGCCTGTACAACCTTTTCTGAAACCACTATGAGAACATCCTGCTCTTTGCCTCATGATGATCCACAACACGCGATGAGGAACACTTCAGCCGACTGCTTCAAGGTAGCAAAGACTTCAGATCACCTTGCACAAGCAAGGACATCGGACTGAGTAGGTCCACGAACCCATGCCTGGCATTCAGATTTCTGAAACTGACTGAAACACGCTCGATACACAGACTTACGTACCTGCCCACAGGGAACTACTTGGCCGGTTATTTTACATTATTAAGCACTAATGAGTATCAGAATAGAAAAAAAGTGTTTAGCGCCGTAAACTGGCATCTCAAAACAGAAGCCGCCTCTCCATTCTGCAGTATTCCAGAAGTTCCCTCTCACAACAAGGTGTAACACTTCTTGACTGAACAATTAAGGCCACGTTTGGCAACGTGAATAAAACGGTAGTTCTGCTTTTAACAAAGGCACTAACTGCGATACGAGGTGGCACGTTTGTCCTGCCTGCAGCAGGCAGTATTTTTCTCGCTGTCAGCACAAACCACTGCAAGCAGGCTGACCTCCAAAGAACGAGGAAGGGAAGCCTT